TGCAATCCGATCGCAACCGAAAACATTGTTTATACTATGAAACTATGATACTGCGACAAGATCTTTTATCGACGTCTCAAGAATTGTTATTTTCAATCTCGTCTCACAATTAATTTCCTTTTCGACACCTGGCATTGTTCTCTGTCTACACCCTAAGTGCTACTCTCTTGCTAGGGAAGTTGTGTGAACTGTGAACGAATCTCTTGTTGGGGTGATAATTTGAGGATTGTCTTTAGCTACCTCGTTACGAAACTGGCGCAGACCAACTTCCGATACTTTTCAGAAAGTTTTGGCTTACGTTGCGGCATTGTACTGTTTTCGAAGCGTATTTTTAAAAAGACGATTACTGGCACAATGCGCATCATTCTATGCCCTAGACAATGTTAATTTAAATATAATGGCAAAAATCATGCCGTTAGAAAAGTCATGTCTTTAACAAATTCCATTACGTGCTACGTTCTACTAATTTCACGACTGAATTGGGGTAATTTAATTAGGTGAAATTACGACAGTAATTTTAATTGGATAATTTTGTTCATCCGCCATCGAAGTACATGTGTTCATGGTACCATAAAATATGTAATAAACTTACACGTCCACAGCGTTCTTTCGAGAAAATTTTCAACTTGCAAATAAGTTATCGAGATCTTCGAGAGAGATTTTTTAAACTTCCGTTATAGGCTCGGATAAAAAAGTTAAAAAACGAGTTTTATATTTTTTAAACTTTTGACAAGCATTTTGGTCATCGAAAAAAATTCAAGTCACTTAGTTCAGATTTTATAGAAGCTATCGCGTTCTAAAAGGTCTACGCTCAATTTTGGGAGTAACTGTATCCCTCTTTTAACCCTAGAAAGATAACCATATGACAACGTACGTAAAAGATAACCATACGCTTCAGAGGCGCATGCTTTTCTAAGGCGTCAATTTTATACTAACAATGGATATTTATTTAAGTTAATCTAGTCATTTTAAAGGTTTGGCATTATTGTAAAAATAAAATGCATTTATATTATATTTTTTTATATTTTAAGTAATTTTAAACTTAAATCACTAGACCTCTATGAAAAATTAACAAAAATCAACAGTCTTCGCAGGCGCCTCTGCGACGTAGGTTATCTTTCTCGGGTTAAATAGATCGGAACGTTCGTTACTTATTTAAACACAAATAGCGACATCTCTATGAGACATATTCAATTTGGGGACCCGTTCAAATCACCGACGATTATTTCATCGATAATCATGATCGTCGGACATCCAAACGTATCCGTGAATGAATACTGTCGGCGAAATGCGATGCCGATGAAATCGCGTCGGTGAAATGATCGTCGATGAAATAATTGTCGATGAGGTAACGGTAACCCTTCGATTTGAAACGAGGAAACATTGTTATTAAACATTCGATGCCATGAATCGAACCGTGATTTTTCGCTGTCGGAAATGCAATTACGACAATATTGCTTTTCACTTTGTCTTTTGCGGTAGTCAACTTGTAGTTCTAGACGTATCGGGAACTTTCTATAACTTCTAATTTAATTTTATTGCGTGCTACTGAAACTTCGACTCTTTGATCTTGATACATGGCACTCGGCCAATGTACTGCGTCCCATGGTAGTGAGACATGCAAGGCACTTCTTAAAAGGATTATAGTATGATACGCGGTACCTGTGATCGGTTATCGATACTTTGTCGAGAAATAAATCTGATGCATTTATTAAAATATTGGTGAAACGTCGATGATAAAAGTTTACAGTTGCGTGTACGAAAGGGATTGCGACGTCTAATTTACCTTTGTTTACTCTCGTTACAGAGTTGTCTATTATACTCCGTTAGTTTCGTTTTGCAAATTATCGTTTTCCCAAATTTTCTTCAACTTATTGATTTGATTCATAATACGCGATTTAATTGAAGATAATGTAGTCTGGTATTGCTTCAGGATACGAGCAAAATTTTACAATACATGTTTCTATTTATTAACACGTTCCGTGCCGAGCTTTTTTTACTCGAATCTTCACACTTTGATATTTTACTAAAACTTGATGTATTACGTGCAATTATTAATTCTCGTACACATAACAACGTAACAAAAACTTATCAACGCCCATTCTTGCGGTGGAAATTGATTCTAAGGTTCTAAATTTCTTGTAAACAATTTGTTCAGTTCACTAAGTAAACATGCAAGCGTGTACCATCGATGGTACACGTGGCACGGAATGTGTTAATCTAGAAAATTACAAATCTCAACTTGTGATCTGTAAGACTGACTCTGCTGAAAGTTTGTAATGTTTGAAATGGTTCTGGTTTTTCATAAATCATGAGTATTGGCGAAAACGGCGAAATGTGGGTCAGCTTATTTTTGCTCTAGATTCATCAGAAAAAATTTTATCGAAACTGTTGAGAAGCTATAATTATCCAAGCGCATGTTAAGATATTTATCATTTTTTTAATAAACAAGTTTTCACATTCTACCTATAATTTTAATAAAAATCGATTACCCAATGACAGTGACTTCTCGTAAGTCGAACATGATCGGTTCTTTAAAGAGTCTTATCGTGCAGATCAAATAATTCGCCACTTGTCCCATCTAACAAGTTCGTTATCAACGGCATATACATACATACATTATATATGTGACGGTCACGATTTTGTATTTCGCATATGGAGAACCTAATTAATTTAACCTGTGTCGTTATTTAATATTGTGACGTATAACATGATACTCGGAATTAATCATTTCCCTGTGAACATTTAACAGAATGTTATTATTATATTATTATTATTATTCTATTCTACACACATACATACACATATATAGAATTGTAATAAATATAACAGTATAAAAAAATATAACAATATAATAATATAAAATATAACAATTTTCTATCAGTTTCTCAAATTTATGTAATTTTTTGGTAGTGTCCTAATACTTTTGGAGGCGAGTGTATGTTGAGTTCATTTCATACGATACGTTTTCGAAATATGTGGAACATACTACAAAATGCATGGAACCGAATAGGATCAGGAATGATAGACAAACTAATAAAATGCACTTCGGTTCCATGCATTTTGTAGTATATTCCACAGATTTCAAAAACTTGTCGTATGAAACGAACTCAACATACGTTTTCAATGAACGAAATGCAATAAATGGGCAAACTAATTGCATTAGTGACAAACACTTGTAACTTAATAAGTACGTTCGACGCCATAAAACTTAATACTGAACATAAAACATTACCTAAAATGATCGAAAAATTACAATTTATTCTAAACCGGCATGTGTCCTGATACTTTTACAATTAGTTAATACGTTGCTTTGTTATAATTCTATGGAATATGTTGCAATTTTTCGGACCAAAAATAATAAACAGTTTAAGCGTGACAGTCGTTCGAAGTTGTTAGCATGTAAAGGTTAAAATAATTATCTACATCACGGTCCTCCTCTCGGAGTTCGATAAAATTTAACTACAGCTCTTGACATTCTGAACAATGTTTTTCGTTGAAAATGTCATCAAAATCACGGGGTCCCGTCGTAAATAATTGCCGAAGCTGAAAATTGTATTTTTAACGGTTCATCTAGTTTTTCATGGTTCAACGAAAAACTACACCGATTCGCTGTAAGAACGACTTCGTCGACCTCTGCGAAAGGATCGAACGTTTACTCGCAACGCGAATACGTAAATACATTCAAATCTTTGGAATATTCGCCATTATTTTCGACGAGTTTCTTTCATCTCTTGAATAACTGACAAATCCCTTCACGAAGAAAAGCTCGTGGCTCTGCTTGTAAGTCGTCAATGCATTTCCAGGCCTCTTGCACTCTTTTGAAGTGCGTATCAGCTAGGTGATGTTGGAACGATCGGAATGGGTAGTAATCCAACGGGGCTAGGTCCATTGAATAAGCCGCACGAGGCTGAGCCTCTCATGCCCGTCCAAGGAATAAATAACGTCCTTTCTTCTTTTTCGCGGAATGTGGCCGAGCGTTGTCATAATACAGAAATATCCCAGCCAGTTCCGCTGTCGATAAATGCAATTTTTCGTCCGGTTTGATCGCCAAAAACCGATGAATTTATTACCGTTGCCAACGATCCAAATTAATAATCTGATCAGATTCGAACATCAGATACGATGAATGTGTGGCGTCGCATCCCTCTACCTGAGCGCGGCCGCTAGCAATAAAACAAGTACCGTTCCTAATCCTCAAAATTCCCTAAAAATCACGCACTAATAAAACAATTCTCCTCACATCTGGACACCTCGACCCGCACGGGACTTTCCCAACTTTCTCCTTTCCTACGAAAGTCCACCTATTCCTTCCTTCTCTTCCACTATAAAAGAGACAAACGCGCAACTCAAAAAGCTCAGTCTGTCCTAAGTTGCTAGTCCTACGACACCACGCTAGTCGCGCCCGCGCTCATCGATAGCAATTCGATAAACTGCATTAATAGTAACCTTAAACACGCTCTCCGATTCGCTAACCTTCCCTTTAGTGCTAAAAA